GGGGTTAAAAAAAAAAAAAAAAAAAAAAAAAAAAAGGCACATCGTCTACCACATCCTGTGGTTGGGTGGACTCTGCAAAAAAAAAAAAAAATAAAAAAAAATAAAAAAAATAATGTTATAAAATGGCAAGCCTAATTATATAACAATGTAGCCATGTTGGTAATGCAGCAGTTATATAAAATATAGCAGTGTAGCAATACGACGCAGCAGTTAAAAAAAAAAAAAAAATGTACGTGCTTGGTCAAAAATAATAAGCAACCACAGTTTTGCCATTAGGAAAGGAGCAAAACAAAACATCACAGAAGGAGAAGGAATGGTAAAGTAGCCACCAAGTGACAGTTTAAAAGAAGAAGAATAAAAAAAAAAAAAAAAAAAAAACAGCGTAACAATCATCTGAGGCCAATTGACGCGAACCAAGCTAACAGAGCCCGAAGGAGAAGCATATTTTTTAACACTTGTGGGTTTATATATAACGAGCCCGGTAGGTCACATGACAGCATTTTGTGCTTCATTTCTGTGCCCACCGTTAGTGAATTAATTGAGGCAAAGCGTTTGTTAGTTTACTTGTTTGTTTTTTTATCTCTTCGACATACAGAACTGTATAAAAAAAAAAAGGAGTACGTAAAAAATGCCGCGCGCTTTACCGCAGTAACTTTTATCCTCATGAAAAACTGTCGTATGTTTATTCAAATACAGAAAGTGAAAGGTACCACCTGAGGGGAGGGGTAGAGATTCCCTTCAGGATACTTTTTTTTTTTTTTTTCCAATGAGGAGAAAACTCAAGCTACATGAATTATAGAAGGAAAGAAAAGTAGACTGTTCTCTTCGTGCCACTTTTTGCACAACGAAATTTGGTGCCAACACGGGACAGCCTAAACCCGTATGGAGTGTATACACTCCGGTGTACAAGCAAAAACGGTTGGGGTGTCTGTATGGGAAAGGTCCTCTTCACCTTCAGACATTCCACCATCCGCACGAGCACCCCCAAAAAAATTAACGTAAAATAATAATTTGTGTGAATAAAATTTGGACCCATTTTTTTTCTGCCAAAAAGGCGATTGGCAAAACAAAATTTGTAGAGTGGAAGGATTTCCCTAAACTGTGTATGCACGGGGAGACAAAAGGAGGGAGGACAAGAAGTGCTTGCCCAAGCCATTGCCAATTGGGGGAACCGCTCCTCCAAACACCAGCGCTAAAATGAGAACACACGCCTCTACCGCTGAGTGATCACATATGCGACATTGAGTGAACAAGTGAACCCAGAGAAGGGAGTCCCCCTTTTGTACACACATGAAGGCCCCACGTGGAGTATTATTCACGTAGACGTAGTAATACGCCTGTAATATAAATATATATATATATCCTGTATATATTTTTACCGTATACACACCTCACTGGTGTACAAGTCCTTGGCCAAGAGGACTCGCTCAAGACAAAACAGTGAAAGTGGAAACGCCAGAAGATATAAACCTCCCCCCACCCCACTCTGTGCTCGTCTGAACGGTGAAGGAACAATGGATATAAGCAACAAAGAAGAAGAAAAAAAGTACCAAAATATAATTACAGAAAAATTAAGGGAACTGCTAGGGGAATATGAAGTGGACATTTTGACTGAGTACGTGTGGCACATGGCCGGCAATGCCCAGAGTACACGGGAGTTCATATGCAATGAGCTAAAGGATTTCCTGGGAGACCACGTAATTTTGCATGCATAAATGTTTTTTGTGGAGGCCCATTTTGCGGGGGGTGTATACCCCCTCTACTCTGCAGGGAGGAAATTTTACTCCCCCTGAAACGGCATTAACATATCTCCACATAGAAGTCTTTCGCCTTATTCTGACTACTACACGGGGCAATACTTAAGCATATTAGAATGATTTCCAATTGCTATTCTGCCTCTCCCATTTTTTTTTTTTTTTTTTTT